GACTGAGGACTACATGGTTGGGCAGCCCACACCGTCAGTGAGCAGATGTGTTCTGGCTTCCAAGGAGCACAAGAAAAATCTCCTATTTCTGGTATTTGCCACTTTGAATGACATACCCCATGTTTTGAGAGGCTGAGTTTAGAATCTAATCCCCTACATTAAAACAATTTTTGCTTGCAATACCTAGAGCAGCTTTTCTTTTGCTGTATGAATCCAGACTGGTGCTGTAACCCTGACTCATTAGGTATAATAACCACTGTGTTTTATTAAATCAGGAGAGTCATTGTCCTGTTTGTGCTGCTGGATCTGAGGATGAAGAGAGATAGGCTGCAGAGGTGCCTCCCTGGCCCTTTCTACCAAAACCTTCCAGTAACATTCAAAGCCTGGCTGCATCTGAGAAACGCTCTCAACAGAAGGAGGCACCAGGAGGATCAGCTTGGGCAGCCCAGCCTCGCAAATCTGCTTCCCTGGGGGTTTGTGTTATGACTTGTCACACTGTGGGAGGGTCACTATAACCTTGTTGACAGTAATAAGTTCCAACATCATCAGCCTCCAGGCTGCTGATGATGAGAGAATAATCTGTCCCTGATCCGCTGCCACTGAACCTGGTTGGGACCCCGCTTTGTAAATTGGATGCTGTATAGATCAAGAGCGTAGAGACTTTCCCTGGTTTTTGCTGATACCAGTGTAAATTACTGTAAATGTTCTGACTGGCCTGGCAAGTGATGGTGACTCTGTCTCCTACAGATGCAGACAGGGAGGATGGAGACTGGGTCAACTGGATGTCACATCTGGCACCTGAGATTGGAAACATAAAATCAAATATCCACACGATTAATCATGTCACAAGATGATTAATAATGTCACAAGAGGTCTTTCCTGAAGAGTCCAGCAGTACTGACCATAGTACCTGAGTAAATTTCTAGTGTTTTGTCTCCTTCCTTACCTGGAAGCCAGAGAAGCATGATCCCCAGGAGCTGAGCGGGGGCCCTCATGTCCATGCTGTGACCTGAATGGGACTGACTCCTGCCCAAGATGTGGGCANTCCCTGGCCCTTTCTACCAAAACCTTCCAGTAACATTCAAAGCCTGGCTGCATCTGAGAAATGCTCTCAACAGAAGGAGGCACCAGGAGGAGCAGCTGGGGCAGCCCAGCCTTGTAAATCTGCTTCCCTGGGGGTTTGTGTTATGACTTGTAACACTGTGGGAGGGTCACTATAACCTTGTTGACAGTAATAAGTTCCAACATCATCAGCCTCCAGGCTGCTGATGGTGAGAGAATAATCTGTCCCTGATCCGCTGCCACTGAACCTGGTTGGGACCCTGCTTTGTAAATTGGATGCTGCATAGATCAAGAGCATAGGGACTTTCCCTGGTTTTTGCTGATACCAGTGTAAATTACTGTAAATGTTCTGACTGGCCTGGCAGGTGATGGTGACTCTGTCTCCTACAGATGCAGACAGGGAGGATGGAGACTGGGTCAACTGGA